GCGGCGCGATCATGCGCCATGCCCTGCACGCCACCGAGGAGCAACTGGAATGAGAGAGCCTTACGGCGAATTTCGTCTCCATGCTGGCGAACGCCATCTTCGCCGGCAACAGCCTCACGCATGTAGGCGGCGTCGCGCCCTACAACGTGGTCTTCGGACGGCAGCCCAGCATGCTGCCGCCACTAGAGGTCGACGCAGAGGGTGCGGACGAATCTGGCCATGCCGATGAGTCCAATCCTGCTTCTCCTGGTGGTGAGACTCAGCCCAGCCAACTGCAGTGGCGCATACGCGAGACCGCACTGCAGCGCATGATCGCCGAGGCGACCTCGATAGTACGCGTTAGCCGTGCGCCCTGGGCGCGCGCCCAGCCGTCCGGCGAGGGCCAGTTCAACATCGGTGACGTCGTGGAGATCCATCGGCCGCCCGACGCCAAGGATGTTTCAGGCTGGGCAGGCCCAGGGACGATCACTGCAGTGGATCCGGCGCGCGGGAAGGTCACTGTCAAGTATCGCCGCGCCGAGATGAATTGCAGATTGCAGGGCGTCCACCATTTCATCGGCGCGGTCTACGACGACCTCGGCGCCGGGATGACGCGCCGGCCTGGCGTGGGACTTGGTCGAGGACATCATCGAGCACATCCAGAAGCTCGTACCTTCGGCCACTGGGGGGATATCGGCAACGTCAGCCTCGCCGAGCAGGCTCGACAGAAGCCCGAGATCTTCCAAGCCCTGCGCCATCTGGCCCGCAGATGCTTTCAGCTGTCAGACGTTCGTGCCATGCGTCTGATCCGAGGCCAGAAACAGGCTGGTGCCTGGCCGGGCTGCCCCCGCAGTCTGGATCTGGTGGTTCCCCAAGGACCAAGGACCCCTTCGACACGCGGCAGATGCACCTCAACAGCGTGCACTTGGACTCGTACTCCTTGGTCGGTGACGCCTGGAAGAACGCCCGCGTCCTGCAGTTCATTCTGGGCGATGAGCCACTTGTGGCAACAGACGTCGGCTTAGAGCCTGAAGGCGAGATCGGACACCATGTTGTCGGATCTCACGAAGATGCTGCGTCGACTACGGAAGGGGGATCACCCTCAGCGCTCTCAGGCATACCCGAGGGCGACGAGAGCGACTTCACTGGCCACGTCCAGAAGGTGATGCTAGGCGCGTGGCCAGAGGTCGAGAATGCCGACGACCTCAACAGTGAGCTCATGAAGGACGGCCGCGGGGAACACCAGCAGCAGGCATACGCAGCTATCGAGCACGCTGCGGCCGTCATGGGCCATCGGCCCCCCGAGTGGCCATGCACCTGGAGACGCAGCGGCAGCGCCAGGTGATCCACGAGAGGTGCCACTACTACCTTCGTGGGGCTTCGGAGGCCGAGTATGCCACGCTGGAGGAGGAAGTGATCGAGTTCCACGCGTGGAGCTGCGCCTTGACCCCGGAGTGCGTGAAGCATTCCTGAACGCGCAGACCGACTCATCATCGTGGACCGCTGCGCTCAACGTCTACGCCGCCGTCAACACCGCGGTAATCAAGCGCGACACCGACTTGCTCACTAAGGAGGAGGTGTCTAGGCTGCCCCAAGAGGTTGCCGCAGCCATCTTGGAGGAGCTCACCGTTTGGGTCCAGTGCAAGTGTTTCGAGCGACGACCTCTTCGAGGAGCTCGGAACGTCATGGACTCCCGCCACGTCTTCATGTGGAAGCACCGCAAGTATGCGGAGGGCAAGATGGTCCGCATTATCAGATGCCGGATGGCACCGCGGGGCTTCAGGGACATGGGCGCGGGTGCGCTGGAGACGTTTGCTGGGGCAGCGAAGCGCTCGTCTCAGCACATTCTTTCTTCGGGGGCAACTTGCAGACCAGACTGGGTCTATGTCGCCGTGGACGTGGGGAAGGCCTTCCTGCAAGGGGTGACTTACGAAGAGATGCAGGAGCAGGGCGAGGCACCTAGGGATGTCAACTTCACGCTACATGCCGGCAGCGCCGCGGTACTGCGAAAGGTGCCCGGCTACGAGGACTTCGACGAGACGACGGAGTGCCTCCATTGCATCAAGCCGGGCATAGGCTGCAGGGGTGCTCCGCGGGCGTTGTCCATGAAGATCGCCCGGGTCACGCGCTCTCCAGTGTGCAGCGCCAAGCCGACGCGCTGGGGCCCGGAGCTCGAGGTCCAGCATGAGGCACCTACGAGCCATGCTCACGGTGTCTCAGAGCTAGTGCTCGTACTGTCCAAGCACGTGGACGACCTGAAGATAGCTGGGCAGAAGAAGCGCGTGGGCCAGCTGATCTCTCACATCGAGAGCGTCTTCGGCAAGATGAAGGGTGACTGGGGGGACTTTACCAACTGCGGCGTCCACCAGGGCCGCGCCAAGGACGTCGCGGTCACCCTGGGCCAAGACGACTACATCGACGCGCTGATCCCTATCAGGCGCGTCGACTTGGTCAAGGCCTAGGCGGATCAGCCGACCACCGGTCCGCTCCCAGACTTGTTCGTATCTCTCTTGGGAGCAGTAGCCTACTCGCTACTTGCACAACGCCATGTGACAATGTACGTAATCGCGCTGCAGAGAGCCAAGAACAAGCTGCTCATCGGACGCGTGATGCAGCTCAACTCAGTCGTTCTGGCCATGCAGAAGCTGATGTCACACATCGTCTTCCCAGCGATGAGATGCAGCAAGCGACTCGTCGTGCGCAGCGACGGCTCCTTCAAGAGGGAAGAGGAGACGGGGTGCGGCATGCGCGGCGTCGTGTGCATGCGCATGGGCACGTGCCCCAGGACGGGTGAGGAGGTCTGCCACCTACTGGATGCCATCAGCAGATCGCATGAGCTTGTGTGCAGGTCCTCCTTCGGCTCAGAGCTGCTCGCAGCCTGCGGCGCAGCTGCGGGGTGCAGCAGTGCCTCCTCACCCTGCGCGAGATGGTGCGCGGTCCGGCCACCGCGGAGGAGATCCGGCGGCTGAGGGAGGAGGCAGGCTACGCCATCCCAGCCGAGCTGGTCGCAGACGGCATGTCGGTCTTCACGGCCCTGCTGTCCGACCCCGTCCGGCCGCCATCTGAGAACTCGATGGCCGGCCATCTCTGGTGGCTGAGCGACCAGCTTCGCACCGAGCAGCTCGAGGACATGCTGTGGTGCGACACCAGAGACATGAGGGCCGACCCGATGACCAAGGGAAGCACCAGCGACGAGAAGCGGAAGAAGAGCGTGCCGAGCAGCCAGCACTCGAGGCTGAATTACAAGCCCAGTGCAGGCACAGAGACTGAGGGAACTGTACAAGCTGAACGTGGAGCCAGACGCGACTACGACACCGCGCAGCCAGCCTCAGCAGACAAGCCAAGGAGTAAGTCAACATGCTCCTGGCCTCCATGTCAGCGAGGAGGGCCGTGGCGTTTGCCGGCTTTCCACACAGACCCGAGGGGGGCTTTCAGGGCGGGGTTGGTCTCTTGGTGGAAGTGTAACAGCTTCTACCGAGGGAACAACGGACGTGTTTGAGCACCAGACTCGAACGGACCCTCGTCAGGTCATCCCTGCCTTTTCACCCGCCTCTCTCCCGCTGCCTTTTGGGCCCTGAGCCTGGCCAGGCTTAGCGCCCGCATAGCTTGCATAGCACGCCGCGTACCTTCCATTCCGCATGCGCGCTGGTAAAACAGTGCACACAATTCTCCTTGTTTCCATTCTTAACTTGTTACTCCAGTCCCTTCCTCCTCCTCCTCCTCCTCCTCCTCTTCCTCTTCCTCCTCCGCCTCCTCCTCCTTCCCCCCCTTTTTCTTCCCCCGTCTTCTTTCCCCTTTTCCTTCACCTTTCCACTTTTTTCCTTCCTCCTCCTCCCCCTTTGCCTTCTCCAGCCCCGTTCTTCCATGGGATCGTATCGGATTCCTATCGGATTCCTACCGGACCGTACAGGACTCCTGTATTATCCCAACAGGATCCCATCAGATCGTATAGGATTCCCAATGGGATCCGATAGGTATCGTATAGGATCCTATAGGGATGCCATAGGATCTCAAAGGCTCCTATAGGGATCGTGCCGGATCCTATAGGGAGGCCATCGGCTCCTACAGTGATCTTATAGAGTCATATAGGGATCCCATTGGAATCGTGAAGGATCCTATAGAGATCTTATAGGACCCTATAAGGATCCTATAGAATCCCCATCGAATCCTACACGATTTCTATACAGGGTCGCATGGGATTCCTATACAATCCCTTTACGATTCTCATAGAATCGTACAGGATCGCATGGGATCTTTATAGAATCTCCACAGGATCCTATACGATTCCTGTAGGATCCTACAGGATCGCATCGGATCGCATGAGATTCCCATACAATCCCCATAGGATTCCTATAGGGTCCTATAGGATCGCATGACATTCCTATAGATTCCCTATCGGATCCCTGGAGGATCCTATAAGACCGCATGGGATTTCGATACCTATACGATTCTAATAGGATCCTACACGATCGCATGGGATCCCTGTAGGACCCCTAAGGATCTTATAGGGTCCCTACTGGATCCTACAGGATCGCATAAGATCCCTATAGGGTTCTATAGGGTCATATAGGAGCCGATACCAGAGCTTTGCTTGAGCAGACATGGGAACATTGAAGGAAGGAGGAATTCACGCCCCTCAGCAAGCGAAGTTACAGCGGAGCGAGAAAGTGGAACCCGAGGTTGCTGGTTGCTGGTTGCCGGAGGGGGGTTGCTTACCCCGTGGGGCAAAGTCGCGGGTTTTTTTGTTAAAAGGACAAGCGTTGACCAAGTTTCCTGATGAACGGGCGACAAGATCACGTGTCAACCTTATTATTGCTGCTATTGTTGTTATTGTTGCTGTCAATGTTGTTGTTGATGATGCTGATGTTGATCATGATGATGACAATGCTGATGATTGTCGTGATTTCACGGGTTTCCGATGTATCTTGTGGACCGCCGCCGTTCTGGTTGTTCAAGTTTTGAGGGATGTGGGAGAGGCTCACAAACCGCGCTGTCACAGGTGTGGTCTCCTATCTCACGAGGTGCCCGCAGGTGCCATCTTGTCCCGCCTGTCCTGTGTGCTCGTTGACGTGCGGGTCGCCAGCGCCGTGCCCTGGGTGCTCGCTGCAGTGCCCAGCGATCCCGCCGTGCGCGGAGGTCGCCCCGGCGGTGTGCCCTTCGCCGCCGCCATGCCCGACGCCGGCGTGCCCGGCGTGTGGGGCCTGCCCCGCGCCAGAGGCCGCACCCGCGCCCGCGGGGCCGGAGGTGTCGGCGCCGTCGGCGGCGGCCGTGCTGGTGAGCGACGTCGCCATCGACCTGCGCTCCCTGGCCGTGGGCCTGGTGGGCGGCGCAGTGGGCTTCCTGCTCGCCGCGGCGTGCGTCGGCTTCTGCTGTGTCGTGCTGCGGAGGGATGCTCGTCCGCGTGTTCGGCATCCTGCTGGCTGTATCAGTGACGGCGACGGTGGCAACGAGTCGCTCGGTGTACGCCTTCTACGCCGACGAAGTGGTGTGGCGCCAGCACTTGAATCCGCCGTGGGTGGCATCGTCCGAGGCTGACCGCGTGAACTACACGGCGGACGGCGATCCATACACCGTCGTGTTGGCCAACAATGCTGAGGTGCAGGCGGCACGTTTTGGTGCCTTCGACTCGTCGCCTCCAGGGATCGCGGGCATCCAGGTTCAAGGGTCGAGAGCCGAGCCGACGGATTCGGAGCTGGCCCAGTGCACGTTGGAGGCGGAGCAGATCGCCACAGCGGAGTGCTGCACCAGGGCTGCGGCCGTCGGCGACCTCGGCCTGCTCCCCAACCTGCGGTCGTTGGTCGGGCCAGGGGGAGGAGGAGTGGCTGCCCCCAGCGCGTGCGCGGGCCCTGTACTGGGCTCGCGGTGCGGAGCTGCCGTGCTTCCCGCGGGTGCGCCTGGAGGTGACCTTGCTGGGGTGCGAGGGGCGGCCGCTTCCGAGGGTGGATGTCGGATTGGCGATGAGGTGCTTGGGCGCGAGGCCCCTGCAGCTCGAGCCCTGGATCGGGATCTGCATGTGGTGCCAGACGGCCAGGGCTTGCCCGTGGAGCTGGGGCCACCGGCCGCTCCCGAGGCCTTCCTGCGTAAAGCTGTTGATGCGGACACCAGGATCCTGCCCATTGTTCGAGATGGGCAAGGTCGAGGCGGCGCCCCGTGGCACAAGACTGAGGAGATGACCCGCCAGGAGGATTTCGGCTCGGACGGGTTGCTGCCGTGCCCGATGACGGCGGCGGGGTGCATGAGCTACCTGCAGTGGGAGGGCCTCAGCACAGAGGGCCATCACGAGCACTTGACGCAGGTCTGTAGGCTCGCCGCCACGGATTGGGGAGTTCAAGTACACTACGATCTGTGGCAGCAGATCAGGGCGGCCACCAGTCAGGGCCTCCTAGACGGGGCTAACCTCACCAGCATTGAGATGAAGTTTGGGAGGCGTCGGACCTTCGAGGTTGCCCACTGGGACAAGGCCGTAGACGCCGAGTGCAAAGGCGTCGGTGGCAAGATGAGTCTGAAGGGGCAGGCCGCTGTCTCGGGGTTTTCGCGTTCAACTTCGTCGGTGACGGGATCTCCAGGATTGATCGAGCTGGTCCGCAGTGACTTTGAGAAGGGGGCGATGCTACACATGAGTCTGCGCCTGGGCCGCGAGGAGCGGGAGTCCAGGCGCAAAAATGACTGAGCATCGGAGCCGTGCTGGCATCGGAGGGGGGGCCAGCACGAGTACTACACCCCTCCACGACGGCGACCCGTGTGGGCCCTTCTTCCCTCAGGACGTCCACGCTGTTGGCAGGCGTCGGCCCCGGGACATTTTGCCACTGCCCTATTCCTCGTTCGAAGAGCCGCTGGATAAGGCTTCTATCAAGGAGCTCGCCCGAGGTACGATGCAGAGGATTGGGCGAATGCTTGGTGTCTGCAACGATGTCTATGCGTGCGTGGACGCTTTTAATTGGCTTCATGACCCGTCCCTCCGTTGTGGGCGTGACCGTTCTGCACGATACGTTGGGCCGTCACTCGCCCAGAGCCAGTGCCTAGCCCGCATCTCCGAGTCGGTGCGCAACCTTGGTCCGCCGCCGTCGACTCCTTCTCCCGCAGAAGCGCTGGTGCAGCTTCGCGTGGCCGGGGGTGCCTACAACGTCGAGCAGTCGCCCCTCGGGAGTTGCGACCCCGCGCTCCTCTCCTTGCCGGACGTCAGTGCCGCCCCTGTGCCGCTGGCCGACGTGTGGGGGGAGGGCGGGCTGCCGCTGGCCGTCGTGTGGGGGGAGGGCGGGCAAGCCAAGGTCGAACAGTTCGTTCTGCAGAGCTTGATGGATCCGAGCGAGGCCGAAGCCAGGCTGAGGCAGAGCTCTATACCTGTTCCCTACTCTGACCCTCTTCTACGTGATCAGCGGCGCTGGTCCAGTTTTGTTCAGTTACTGTACGAGCGGCGCCTAGTCGACTTCAGCCTTGAGGACGGTGTTCGAGCCGAGATTTTCTTTGTGAAGAAGAAGGGGGGCACCCTTCGCATGGTGGCGGACTGCCGGCGCTCCAACGAGGTGTTCACCGAGCCCCTGGGCGCGCGGCTCGCGACGGGCGACGCCTTTGGTATGCTCGAGATGGCGGCGGACGACTCGCCCCTGACGGTGGAGGGCGCCGACCTGAAGGGCGCCTTCTACCACCTGGAGCTCCCCGAGCAGCTCCGTCCGTGTTTCAGCCTGCGACCTGTGCGCGCGGGCGTCCTGGGCATCAAGGAGGTCGCCGGTCGCCGGGGTCGCCGTTGGAGCCTCCGCCAAGCTGTACCCGCGCCTCAGGGTCGTGCCCATGGGTTGGTCCTGGGCAATGTGGTGGTGTCAGTCGGTGATGGAGCGAGTGGCAGAGGCAGCAGGCTGTGATGATGACGCACGACTTCGAGATGGCAGGCCCGCTCCCTCGCTGGACCCATCGTGCCACCTGGAGTACGTCGACAACTTCGTGAGCATCGGCTACGACGCGGAGGCGGTTCGGTCCGCCGTGACTCGTGTCATGACGGAGCTCAAGCGTCGGGGCTTGGTGGTGACCAGGGAGGAGCACCTCGGTGACAGCGAGGGCGAGCATGCGGTGCTGGGTTGGTCCATCACTGCGGCAGGGCGTCTCTCGGCGTCTGCTTCGAGACTGTGGAGGGTGCGGTTAGCGGTGCGTGGTCTTCTGCGCCGGGGCCGTGCCAGTGGTCGTGACCTCGAGCGCGTGCTGGGCCACATTATCCTCGTCGCTCTCGTTCGGCGTGAGGGCTTAAGCATCTTCGAGGCGAGTTTCCGCTTTGTCCAGAAGTGCTACCACCAGCAGGTGCCGCTCTGGTCGCAGGTCAGGCAGGAGCTCATGGCCTGGGATGGCGTCGCTCCTTTGCCGTGGCGTGATCTCCGTGCCCAGTGGTCGTGTTCCGTCGGCTGCGTCGACGCCTCCCCTTGGGTGTTGGGCGCCTGCGAGGCTGATTGGGATGTCGGCGCTGTTCGGGAGGTTGGTCGTCGTAGCGAGCGGTGGCGCTATGGCAGGGCTGAGCGCTTGCCTCCTCGTCGCCGGGCCCTTGCCGCTGAATGTGCCGCAGACGGGGTCGCAGCCTGTGACCTGGGGATCGTAGCGGCCCAGCTCGATCCTGGCTGTCCAGCTGGGGACAGCCAGCCCGTCGGCCCGCCTGTGGAGCACGACCTGCTCGCCTTTCCCGAGGTCTCGAAGAAATGCCTGGACAAGTTGTTGTGGCGTGTCACGGGACGTCGTAAGTGGGATCGCCTTGAGGGGATGCCTGTTCTCGAAGCTCGGGCGGTCCTGTACCATGTTCGGCATGCATTACGAGCCGTTCGGAACCATGGGAAGAGGATGCTTGTCCTCGGAGGTTCTCTCGCGTCTGTCTCGGCGGCCTCTCGGATGCGGGCCCACAGCCACGCCATGTTGGGGATCATGCGCCGTATTGGGGCTCTGTCTCTGGCGTCTGGGAGCTCTTTTTGCATGCGGTGGATACCGTCTGAGTGTAACGTCGCGGATGGCCCCTCGAGAGGCCGAGGAGAATCCAGTCTCCCTACTGCTGTCATTCTAAGGGAGGGCCTCTGCAAGAGCCCGAAGTACAAGGTCGGCCTGGACCCCGAAGAGTACGACCCTCCCCAGGGGCCCCATCAAGGTAGGCTACTGCGTGACCTAGGTGAGGCAGAAGGAGAGCCCCATAGGGATCCCGATCAAGATCAGCACGGACCAGCACTACACGGTTCTCAAGAGCGGGGTCAGCACCGGCACATGCACGAGGAGGTGGGCGAGAAGGTGGTTGAGGGGGAGGAGCGCGGGTATGATGAGGGCCTCAGAGTGGCCTCGCTCGAGGACGTCTGGGAAGCTCATGGTCCGCTTCGCTCTGAGCCGCTGACTGGCCCGAGACCTCTACGTATTCTTCCAAATGTTGTCGGCTCTCTTCGTCGTCGCCCTCGCCAGCACTCTTCCGGCCATGTCCGCGTGGCTAGTGCAGGGGGGCGCCCGCAAGCGGCCAGCCGCGGCTGCGAGCTCGCCGCTGGCGGGGGCCTCCCTGGTCCGTGGGGCTCGCAGGGCTGGCTTGCAGGCGCCGACGCCGCCGGTGCTCCAGGCCTCGCCCGCGAGCCGCCGGGGCTCGAGCGGTGGCCCCACGCCGCAGCAGCGGGCTCGGCTGGACCAGCCGCCAGCCGGCATGCCAGAGCTCAACGCGGCGTCCGTGCGCACGGCGTCGGAGCGCCAGGCTGACCTCTCGATGCTGGTGGGCTTCGACAACTGGACGAGACAGCCTCTGCGGGCTATGCAGGAGCCTGCCCAGATGGACCGAGCGGTCTGCGATTGCATCAGCCAGCTCGTCGAGCGGGGGGATCACCAGACCTACGCCAACCCTATGATAGCGGCGCTGGCAGGGCGCGTACCGCGCTATGCCAGGTCGGGCCAGTTCGAGCTGCCGCTGTCCAAGCAATCCGCCAAGGTGTGGCGCATCCTGGCCCCTGCTTGCGGCCGAATGGCCCCTCCGTGCGAGGTCGTCGCCATGGTGGTCTACGGCGTGCTCCATGCAGTCGGCCAGCGCAGTGTGGCCAACGCAGGGCGGGGGGCTGTCGCCGCCCTCGCCCTCCGCAAGCTGGGCGCCTGCCACGGCCTCCAGCTCCGCCGCTCAGGCCCAGGCCGCGACTGCGCAGCGGGGCTGCGCGACCTGGAGCAGGTCAGGCGGCGTGGGTGCTGGAGGAGCTGGAGCTCAGTCCGCTGGTACGGAAAAGAAGGCCGCCTGACCGAGCAGCTGCACCAATTAGGAGGGCTGCAGCGAGAGCACGCGGAGGCCTGCGCTCGCTTGCTGAGCCGTGCGTCGCACGGCCTGCCCTCAGCATCGGTGCCGGTCTGCCCGACCCGCCAGTGATTTTAGAGTCTCTGGCTCAGCAGGATTTTCGAAGGCGGTCGCTCAGCTAGGCATGCCTGTTTTGATGTGGGATACTACTTTAGGCGAGAGTTACGACCTCGCCCGACCATGTAATCGCTCGATGCTCTTGTCATGGATCCGTGCTGGTCGAATCAGGGGTTGGCATGCAGGGGTGCCTTGCAACGCGCTGACCAGGTGCCGCGATCATGGGGTCGGGGCGCCGCCAGTCCGATCCGATCTCCACCTCTTTGGCCTCCCGAGCCTCCCTCCTCATTTGCAGGCGATTGTCGATGTATCCAACATCCTGAACAGGTTTGTTGCCAATCTCGCTTGTGTTTCACTTTCTTTACGTGTACCATGGAGTTTCGAGAACCCTAAGACCTCTCGGCTGTGGCTCCCCCCACGCTACAAAGCCCTAGTGCGACGCCGGGCGGTCTCTTTCCATGTCACCTCTATGTGCCAGTGGGGTGCGCCTTGGAAAAAAATGCTGGCCTTCTCCTCGGGGGCCGTCACCCGGGGCCGTTCTGTCAGTCGCGATGCATAGGATCCAGGCGTGGCATTTGCTTTCGTACGGGGCGGGCTCACGAACAGCTGCATGGGTTTTTGCCCTCAGGAGGTTTCAAGACCAAGAGAGGGGCAGAGTGCCCTCGAAAATTTTGCGTCGCCCTCGCTCGTCTTTTTTCACAATGCCGAGGTCAGAGCTTCCGCAGAGGTCATGCAGCGATCGTGTGGTTTGTGAGTCTCTTTTCTTCGGCGATGCCAGCTTGCTCCGCAAACTCGGGAGCATGTTTGGTGTTATGTTCTGGGGTTGGGCTCTCACCCCAGGACTTGAGCTTGCCAGTGCTTCGCTCGGCTGTCTCGACGGCTGGATTCCGCCCGTGCTCAGTCTCTTGCAGTTGCTGGCAGAAACAAGAGCCCAAAGGATTGTCGTGATTTCACGGGTTTCCGATGTATCTTGTGGACCGCCGCCGTTCTGGTTGTTCAAGTCTTCCGCCTCCTCCTCTCCTCCACCGCTTTCTTTTTACTCCGGTGTTATGTTCTGGGGTTGAGCTCTCACCCAAGGACTTGAGCTTGCCTGTGCCTCGCTCGGCGGTCTCGACGGCTGGATTCCACCCGTGTTCAGTCTCTTGCAGTTGCTGGCAGAAGCAAGAGCCCAAACGATGATAATGCTGATGACGATGTTGCTGATGATGCTGGTGATGATGCTGCTGCTGATGATGATATTGGCCATGCTGATGATTGTGCTGATGCTGATGCTGATGCTGCTGTGCTGATGATGATAATGATGACGATGGCGATGATGATGCGGATTATGTTGGCGATGCTGATGATGTTGATGCTGATGATGCTGATGTTGATGATGCTGATGACACTGATGATGATGTTGCTGATGATGATGATGACGGTTGTGGTGATGATGGTGGTGCTGATGTTGATATTGATGCTGACGGTGCTGCTGATGATCATGATCATGATGGTGATGGTGATGCTGTTGTTGCGGCTGCTGCTGTTGCTGTTGATGCTGCCGTTGTTGTGGTAGTTGCTGTTATTGCTGCTATTGTTGTTGCCGTTACTGTTGTTGTTAATGCTGTTGCTGATGATGCTGATGATGATATCAATGCTGATGATGATAATGCCGATCACGGTGATGCTGGTGATGCTGATGATGCTGCCGCTGGTGAAGATGATGGCCATGTTGATGATGATGATGATGATGCTGCTGCTGCTAATCATGATGTTGTTCTGTTGTTGTTGTTGTTGTTGAGGATGATGATGATGTTGCTACTGATGCGGATGACGACCGCGATGCGGCTGCTGCTGCTGGTGATGATGCAGGTGATGATGAAGATGATGTTCATCCTGGTGCTGCTGATGATGATGATGCTGACGATGATGATGATGATGATGATGATGATGATGGTGATGATGATGATGATGATGATGATGATGATGATGATGATGATGATGATGATGATGATGATGATGATGCGGATGCTGCTGATGATGAGGCTGATGATGATGATGCCAATGATGATGACGAGAAGGAGGGGGAGGAGGAGGAGGAGGAGGGTGGGGAGGATGACGGGGAAAATGCTTGACGCTTCGCGTATCCCCACCAGCCCATCCTACACCAGGCACTCAAACGAAGAGCGCCGATGATCGGCAGCTGTTCTCCTCCCGTTCTTCCTCCTTCTCCTCCGCCTTCTCCTCCTCCCTTCCTCCTCCTCCTCCTCCTCCTCCTCCTCCTCCGCCTCTTCCTCTTCCCTGGTGGCGTCTTGGAGGTATCTTCCAACGTTTTGGTGGGCTCTTGGGCCTCGCGGGCGGGCGGGCGGCGCTCCGCCCGCCCGCGCGCAGGGCGCAAGAGGAGAGTCCGATACGTCTCTTGAGGCCCTCTTGGAGGACATCGATCGCAAAAAGGGGGAAGCATTTTTTAGCGTCGCCCCCCTGGGGGGCACGATCCTCGTGATGGGTGTCGATTTTTAGCCCTCCCAGGGGTCGTTCTTGGACGCTCTAACTACCCGCGGCCCCCCTGTCCAGGTCAGTGGGGAGGGGGTAGGGGGAGGAGCAAACCCATCCCCGAAGGGGAAGAAGGAGGGGTGGAAGAGGAAACGCTCTAAACCACCGACGCCCAGAGGGCTGGTGGGACTGGGAGGATCATGAGGATCAGGAGGATGAGGACGATGAGGATGATGATGACGATGAAGATGATGATGAGGATGATACGATCGATAGGGAAGTTGATGATCATGATGATGGTGCTGATGCAGATGCTGATGCTTCTGATGATCATGATGCTGCTCATGATGCTGATGGCGATATTGCTGATGCTTCTGATGATGATGATGCTGATGCTGATGCTGATGCTGATGCTGATGATGACGATGATGATGCTGATGCTGCCGATAATGATGATGCAGATGATTATGACGATGATGATGACAATGATGCTGATGCTACTGATGCTGACAATCATGATTCTGATGCTGATGCTGCTGCTGATGATAAGGATGGCGATCACGATGCCGATACTGATTAGGATTATGATGATGATGCTGATGGTGATGATGATGCTGATGCTGATGATGATGCTGCTGATGCTGATGCTGTCGCTGCTGATGAGACTGCTGCTGATGATGAGGATGATGATGATGGTGATGGTGATGCTGTTGTTGCGGCTGCGGCTGTTGTGGTTGATGCTGCTGTTGTTGTGGTTGTTGTTGTTGTTCTTGCGGCTATTGTTGTTTCCGTTGCTGTTGTTGTTAATGCTATTGTTGATGATGTTGATGGTATCAATGCTGATGATGATAGTGCTGATGACGGTGATGCTGATGATGCTGATGATGCTGCTGTTGATGAAGATGATAGCCACGTTGGTGATGATGATGATGATGATGCTGCTGCTAATGATGATGTTGATGATGATGTTGATGATGTTGCTACTGATGCTGCTGACGCCCACGATGCGGCTGCTGCTGCTGGTGATGATGCAGGTGATGATGATAATCCTGGTGCTGCTGATGATGATGTCGATGATGATGAAGATGATGATGCTGCTGATGATGAGGCTGATGATGATGATGTCAATGATGATGACGAGAAGGAGGAGGAGAAGGGTGGGGAGGATGAACAGGAAAACTGGGAGGATTATGAGGATCAGGAGGATGAGGACGATGATGATGAGGATGACGATGAAGATGATGATGAGGATGATACGATCGATAGGGAAGTTGATGATCATGATGATGCTGATGCAGATGCTGATGCTGCTGATGATCATGATGCTGCTCATGATGCTGATGGCGATATCGCTGATGGTGATGATGATACTGATGCTGCTGATGATGGTGATGATGCCGGTGATTCTGACGATGATGATGATGACGATGATGATGCTACTGATACTGACAAACATGCTTCCGATGCTGATGCTGCTGCTGATGATGAGGTTGGCGATGACGATGCCGATGATGATTATGATGATGATGCTGATGATGGTGATGATGATGCTGATGATGATGATGATGATGCTGATGCTGTTCTGCTGCTGCTGATGATGCTGCTGCTGATGATCCTGCTGCTGATGATGAGGATGATGATGATGGTGGTGGTGATGATGATGCTGCTGCTGCTGATGATGATGATGATGATGGTGATGGTGATGGTGATGGTGACGATGATGATGATGATAATGATGATGATGATGATGATGATGATGATGATTCTGCTTGTGCTGCTGATTATGATGATGAGGATGATGATGGTGATGTTGGTGGTGATGGTGACGATGCTAATGCTGATGCTGATGCTGATGCTGATGCTGATACTGCTGCTGCTCATGATGATGGTACTGATGACGTTCCGATCGTGTTGATGATGATGAGGATGATGATGAGGATGCGTATGAGGATGCTAATGACGGTGATGATGCTGATGATGATGATGCTGATGATGATGATGATGAAGATGATGATGATGATGATGATGATGATGATGATGCTGATGATGATGATGATGATGATGATACGGCTGATGATGATACGGCTGATGATGATGCTGATGATGATGATAGTGATTATTCTGATGGTGATGATTATGATGATGATGATGATGATGATGATGATGATGATGATGATGATGATGATGATGATGCTGCTGCTGCTGCTGATGATGAGGATGCGGCTGCTGCTGATGATGATGATGGTAATGGTTCTGATGCTGTTGATGATGATGGTGATGGTGCTGCTGATGATGATCATGATGAAACTGTTGATGCTGCTGCTGATGATGATGATGATGATGATGATGAG